AACACTAACCGGTTGTCTCTGTCTGTGATTTACTTCCTGTCCCTGTCTCGTCATACCTGCTCCCTGATGGCTTTCCCTCACCTGTTCCCCATCTCTCCTCATTACCTCATGTATATTACCTTGTGTGTGTCACAGTCTCGTTGCCAGTTCGTAGCACTTTCACAGTCTTTGTACCAGCGTTCTTTAAGCCATAGTCACTCTCTGTTTCGTTACGACCTTGCTTCTGTTTTTGGACCTTGCCTTTTGCCTCTCGTTTTTGATACCTGTGCCTGATTGACTGACCTCCTGTGTACCGAACCCTGGCTGATAATCAACCCGCCCTTTTGCCTGAACCTGTCTGTGTCGAGCATTTGTGTCCACCTGTCTGATTCTTGTCAGTTCTTGACAAGAAGAGAATATACACTAGTCAGATGTTTTTTTTGGTTTTTTTCTCAGCAAAAGTTGTTCTTTTTTTTAGTCTTACAGCAGATGTTTATGTTGTAGCGCGAAAGCGTTGCACCTGTTAAACCTGAGAAAGTATTTAAGATAGTGAGAGACGATGGCGGTGTCATGGATATTGGCATTCACAGTAATCATAATGAAATCTTTGAACCGGTTTAACCTGAGTTACAGGAGCAGACGGATCCATCACATGCCAGTCAAGCTGCCTCCTCTGTGCCTGCAGTGCACCCTGACACCTATCCTTGCAGGTGGTCGGCCAATAGGGAGCAGTTTCAGATCATTTCTTTGGGTTGTAAGTGTCAAAATGTGGCTCAGACCTAATCATATTGAGGAGCTGATCAACACTTTCACTTACGGTCATGAGCATTCAATAATAACACTGCAGTATTTTCTGCATATCTAACCAGTAGGAGAGCCACAACATATAAGTTGCTTTACCAGAGCCCTCCTTGAAAACATTGGCTAGAAGATTGACTACTGGACTGTCTTGCTATGCCCTCTGGCCTCTTTTGTCCATCTCCCCTTTATGTGTTATTTGTGTCTTGGACAAAAAACATAACACAATTTGAAACTACCCACAGTTCCTGACTAGCTCAGACCTGTCGGCAATAACAACAGAACAAAGAGGTCCAAACTCACTAGAAGGTGTCAGTCTGGGTTTACTCATAGACGAGACCACAGGGAGGTACCTGTTTAAAGTTATGAGAACACAAAACTAATTTAAGCTTCTTTATCTGCGATACAGTCAAATAAGTTTGCGAGCCATAGGACACCCGATACACAATCACTGTACCGAGACACAGGACTAACAATGGCTCATGGACCCATAATTATTAGCTGCTGGTGATGCACAGCTGGATCAATATGAACAGCAACATATCTGCTGTCAGACACATACTGTACGTGAGACGTAATTTGAAATACAGTTGAAAGACTTTGTGTGTGGAGACGTGCACAGCAGACAACTGAAATGTCTTAAGCACACTTCCTGAACATCCTCAACTTTGTTGTGTGCTTAGGTTGTATAAAAGAACTGTTTTCAACATCTTCTATGGTGAGCTGTTTGAACATTTTATTAAATTCTATCCAGACATCAACATTATTTTGACCAGCTGAAGTTAGACTGTGACTATAGTGAGAATTTTAATTCCGGATGTCTGTAAGGTCCATCAGAACAGTCAGAATGACAGAAAGTGATATCTGTTATACAGTTTGGACGACTCAAAATAATAGTTGCACACATAATAATAGTTGCAGACATCCATCCATTATCTATACACAGAGGGGCTCGAGTCTACTCCGGCCGACTCAGAGAGAAGGCAGGGGACACCCTGGACAGGTCCCAAGTTGTCACAGAGAGACAAACAAGCACACTCACATTCACACCTACAGACAACTTAGAACCACCAGTTAACCTCAGAATGTTTTTGGACTGTGGGAGGAAGCTGGAGAACCCAAAGAGAACATGGCCTCCTAACAGGGATGCGGTGCTGACAACCGAGCCACCATGCAGCCATCTCAAACTAAGTCTTAATTGATGTGCAAGATGTTGCTCCATTTGATATTGTCCCCAAAAAGGCATTTGCAGGAGTGTTAGCAGTACAGGGGGGTGCTGTGGTGGGTAGAAAATACCATGAAATAAGTTTTTTAGCAAGGTCTTTGTGGAGAACAAGAGCTTTGTTTATTCAAGACTTATTTTAAAATTAGCCAGACTGCTGCTCTGACATGAAGGAAAAACAGCTTGTCACAGCGTCAGTTTGTTTAAAAAGTTCACCTCCGCCATCATCAATTCACCGAAATTCTAAGATATCTAAAAAGGACAATATAAGACAATACAGATAACTTGAACTGAGGGTAATTAGAGATATCTTGAACTCATAGTGTGATTAATCGGAATTAAACTGTAGATATGTGAAACTGGAATTAGCACTAGTTATGATTCATTTGCTGACATCAGCTGTGTAAATTACATAGACAGTATCTGGAACTGAATTGTAGATATTTGCAGTGACAAAACCCCGATATACTTGTAAAGTAGAAGTATAATTTGTCCTGGGAACACTGACAGTTTGGAGATCTGAAATGTTCTTTTTTATGAGGATGAACTGAAATATGGATATTTGTAATGTATATCTAATCTAGTGATTAAATGTCAATGGCTTGCCATAGACTCAAGTTGACTATTTTGGCTGTTACTATCGTGGTTTTGTTGGAGCCACAAGTGACTATTTAGAATAAAGAACACAGTTGCAGAGCAGCAAGCTACCTGACCACCCAGACCCACCTACAGCAGCAACCTGACTGCATCTGGCTCCTCGCTAATCCATGCAAAGTCACAGCTAAGAAGGTTCACTTCCATAATTCCAGATAAAGTTTGTATATAAGTCTTAATCTTAGTTAAATGTCCATATTTTGCAAATCTTGCACTCCATCTTTCTCCTCCTTACTTCTTTTGTGTATCTGCACTGATGCTATTGAGGTCAAAATGCCAAACTTTGATGATTCTTCTTCTGTAGCGTGGTTAGATTCACTGTGATCTGATCCATGCCAATCAAGAATAGGCCTCCTGATTTAACCTTTAATATATTTCCCACCATAATCCAAATTCAGATAGACACCAGGGATTGCTATGAGTTAAACAACGTAAGTTACACAAAGATTAAGGATGAAGTCGATTAAAACTCACACTTGTTTTTTTCACACCACTCTTTTTGTTTTGTTTGTAAGATCGTTAGTTCAAAACAGCAGAATTAGCACATGACTCAGGTTAATAAAGGGTCGGTGCTGCTTCTGGCAACGACAGATAAGAAGTGGTTGAAGATGCAAGACGCGCTAATTGAAGGAAGAGCTGAAACATTCAATCACATGCTCACTTCACAAACACAAATGATGTGTTTACTGATGTGTTACTGTCTGACTTTAGCGATATCCATTTTGTTTCCTCTCTGGTTTCAGAAGGATCTTTGCTATTATATTTACATTAAAGCATCATAAAGTCCATTTTTAAGCACAGACAAGCATTTCAGGCTTTTAAGGTCTTAGCTCTCAGATGACAGAATGTTTTCATAAACAGTTCCTGCAATGTGATATGGCAAAGGAAGACAGTTATACCTGTACATATTCTGAGGATGATGTCGGGCATGTTGTTATGGTAACACATTATAAAACATTTCCTACAATACTAGAAAATGTAAGCTGATAACAAAAACATTTGAAGGTAACTGGAGAATGCAATCCTGGTGTCAAGAAAAATGTAGAACTAAAACAAACTGTCCTCCTGGAAATATTGCTAGAACCTTGAAATATGCCAAAAAAATAATGCTTGAAACTCAACAAAAATATCACCGCAACAGCTGGTTCAATCTTTTTGAGTTTAGACAACTTTTAATGAGATAATGTCCAAAAAACAAGCTGAGCACAGTTAGCATTTCTGATTACTTAAAAAGTTGCAGCATAAACACCTCTTGTGTTGGTTAATCATAGAAACTAAGTTGTTCCAGTTAGGTTTTACATCTTATTAAAGGTATTTTTTGTGCACACTTGACTACATGAACACAAGCTTTTAAGCTTACAAAAATGAAAAAACTTAAGTTGCTCCAATTAGATTTTCTTCATTTATTTTTGGCCTTCTCTAGTTTTTGTTCATGTAGTGTTTTAGAACAGAATTCAGCAACAAAATAGTTGGTAAGTCACTTTTCTTTACTTTTTTTGAGATGCAATTAAGTTTTTTAACACGCAATATTTAAATCTTGAAAGAAAAAAACGACACAAATTTCAATTGCCCCACAAATTCTAAATTAACATGAAAAGGCCTCGAGCTGAGCAGATTTGTCAAGTGAAACTCTTTTCCCAACATTTTTATTCACTAGTGTCCTAACTGAAGAGTAGAAGGGCCAAAATTTAACTGCAAGACATGAATCTGTGATTGCTCATATCCCAGTTGAAAATATTCTCAAATTCATTGCTATCTGAAAGTGTCCTGATATGTTTTGCAGGCAAAGTGAACTTAAATCCTGACCTCGAGGTAAAGCAAAGTTAAGTTATCAAGCTAATTTCATTAAGTTATGCAACTTAAAATGAATTTTAATTCAGCTAATAAAGAAATTTGAGTTTAAAATAGACAAAATATTAAGTTGATGTAATTACCAACATGATTATATCAATCCAACACATCAACACAATGTTTGCAGCTTTGAAGGTTGAACCAAATCAGTAAACTGTGATTTTTGTCATGCAAGTAGGCCTTTAATTAAGTGGTGGAATAGGTCATTTAAATGACTTTTTAGAACGTTTTCAGAACAAAAATCAAATCCTGAAATCACAGTCATGAATTATCAGCTGATTCTGCATCTGATTGATGACAGTTATCATTTAACACGTAGCACCAGACTTGAAGACGAGCAGCTCTGTCGTGCCTCATAGTCCACTGATCAATAGGAGGTTAAATATTTGCTTACTTTGGACATGTGGCACAGCTTTAAAAATGTCAATAAATATGCATTTGACTGCCATATAAACGACCCTTGAAGTTCTCCTGAAGGTCAGTAAGTTGTACATACCTGTCAGCAGAGAGGGCCGTGAGAGTGAACACAGACACCCCAACAGAGGTGAGCTGGATGAAGGGGATGACTTTACATCCCAGCCTGCCGAACAGCCACTCCTCTGACAGGTACCGGCTGGCGTCCACCGGAGCGCAGGTCAGCAGCAGCAAAACGTCCCCGAGCGCAAGACTCGTCATGAAAAGATTTGGCACGTTGCGGATGGATTTGGCGGAGCAAAACGTCTTAATGAGCGTGATGTTGCCCACCAGCCCCAACACGCTGATGGCCCCGTAAACGGAGGCAATGGCCACGCCGGTGAACCACATCGTCCGCTCCGAGCCGGGAAGAGGAGTGGTGACGCTGCGCGACGCGTTTGGGCACAGACGCTCCATCTGTCCCCGCCGTCAAGAAACTCGGAGAATTACTGGCAGGTCCTTCAGGGATTTTTAGAAAGAAGGCGAAACATCTGGTGAAAATTCAGCGTCCAACTTCAGAGCTGCGTCCTCCATAGTGTCTGAGTTGTTGCTGTAGGAGCTCGATGCGCACAACAGAAAAGAACGATCAATATGTGCGTCCGTGGTATTGAATTTGAGAGAAAAGCGTTATCATGATAAGAGTATGGCAGGATGGCATAAAGGAGATAAAAACTATTAATACAAATATAGAAATCTGCTTTATGTCAGGCTTTGTATGCTTTGAAAAAAACTTGTCTGAATTAAAAAGCTGTCATTTGACCATCTTTTCTAATGTTGGATCAAAATGGAAGCATGATTATAGGTTTAATTCCTGACATTTGAACTGAGCACTGTGTAAAAAAAGAAAAAAAAAGTTTAAAAAATTGTGAAAAATTTATTTTTATAGCTAATTTGACTACAGCAAAATAGTGTCATTTCCTAATCATACATTGTAAAAGAATCAAAAGATGTAGACATTCACAGTTGTGGCCTGTTTTCTTATTTTTACAGTCAACAGGTAAATACAATGCTTTCCTGTAATATTATTCACCAATTTCTGTAATTTAACAGTGAAAATGTATAAAATAAAATAACAGTTTGAAGATAGATTTAAAATAATAATAATAATAATAAAATACTGAATTCTTCTTTCAAATAACAGCAAATATTTGTAAAATATCTGTATTTTTTCTGAACTAAATACAGTGAAAAATAAGGTGTCATTTTATAGTGAGATACTGTAAAAGAACAAATTACCATATGTGAAACAGATTTTTGATGCTGACACTTTTTTAAAAACCTGTTTTTAATGACTAAAGTGTGAATTTATACATTTTTGTCTGAAATTTTAGTAGCCAGTTTCTGTATTTTAACAAAACTACGTAAAAATACGTAACATAACAGTTTAAAGAATTATTCATCATTTCTCATTTCCTAATATACTGCTTTTTTTTCTCCTTACAAATACTGGCAAATATTTGTAAAATAACTTTATTTCAATTCATTTTTTTCAATTCAATTTTATTTGTATAGCGCATATTTACAAAAGCAAGTCATCTTATAGCTTAACAAAGGCAGAAACACCACCAAAACATTTGGATTCCCTATAAGCTTCAGCAGTCCGCAAGCAGTCTGCAACAGTGGGAGGGAACTGAAAACCCCCGCAGGGGAAAAAAAAACCTCCGACAGAACCCGGCTCAGGGAGGGACAGCCATCTGCCTCGAATTATAAAATTTAGTGGAACAAGTTATTAGAGGTTATTGTCCTTTTGTTCCTCCATTTCAAATGGACCAATGAAATATTCCATTTCGTGGTTGGTTGAGGTAACAGGAGGCATCACGGTGGGGGCAGCAGGATGCAGAAGGTTTCCGATTTAAATACAATGAAAAAAAATACTGTGTAGTTTTACAGTGAAATACTGTAAAATAGCAAATTGCCATGATGTTAAAACACAGATTTTAAAGCAGGTCATAGAACCACAACACAGTAAGCAAAGTGAATTTACAGATTACATTACACACTATAAATGTTTAACGAATGGCGGCGCACATGGACGCTGCGGCCTCTTCAGGAGGGAACATTTAGTGTCTTATTCTAGACATGCATTCTGCAAAACTTGCTGGTTGAATAATCCTGAAGAAATGCCCTCTCATCTTGCCTGTACTACTGTGTATGTTCAGCAAAATGACAATAAACTTGATTTGATTGAAATTACATTACACATAAACATGCATACATTAGGTAAATTACAGTTATAGCTTTCTGACTACACAGTAGATGTACCTGGAATGTTAACTCTAAACCTGTGAACTTCAATTCTTCATCTCTCTTCTACAGTTTTTTTGTGTGTTTGTGAGTTTTGTTTTTGTCTGGATGAGATGTTGACAGTAATTATGGCAAGTTGAACTGAAGAAATGATTCACGTTAAGACAAATTTTGTTTTTAATTTAGGAAAATGCTAAATAAGTGAGTTCATCAACCTAAGAAAATAATTTGCAAAAAATTCCAGGTTGTACTTAATAAATTCTTTACATTGAGTCAACGTCAAATAGTTAGTTAGTTATTTTACAGTTTGAAGGTTTATCCAATGTTTTATTTTTTCCACGTACACTGACACTGATGTGAATTACATTGGCTTCATCAAACAGACAACCTGGATGCTTCCTAACTACATTGCTGTCTCTCCTGAACAGCTAAAAGAAATTAACCAGAAATAACTCTGCTGCTGACATATTTGACACTTAATTAGCTCTAAACACAGAGGTGGTTGTTAAGCGTTGGTGTGCAGTTTCTTCTGAAACGTTATTTTTAGTCATCAGCTGTCTGTTGTTAAGTATTTAAGCCTTTTCTTTAAAATGCAGTATTCAAAAATCCTGACAAAAGACAAAAAGAAAACAAAGAAGTTTCTACGAAGTTTTGCTGAAAGATTATTGGAATGAAAGAGAAATACTTTTTCTCATTATTTTTCAATTGAACAAATCTGGGAGCTTCTGAGACATTTGTTATGAACATATTTACATATCATGACCTTTTCATTTGACATGACATCGCTGCTTATTTACACATCCAGCATTTAAAGAGCAACATCCATCACAGGTCAGATTTAAGTCCAACGTTCCAACGTTCCGACGTTCCGACTTCTTTAGCTCGGTTTTTGTTATCTGCTATCTCCTATAGGGAACATGTCTGGTTTACTAGCTGCTAAACATATGTTGTATTGGTCTATTGGTGCTTGGCAGGTGGTGTAGAGTGGGTTTTTAGAGATTTTTCACTCCCTGCTGCAGCCAGAAATGATGCTATTAGAGTGTCAGAGAGAACCAAAACAGGGAAGTTGTGGGCTGGATTGCTAAACAGTGAGCTGAAAGTTATTCTAAAGCTCCTAAAGCTGAGGGAAGCTGCAGATTTATGAGACAATCCCTTTTAGGTTCATCACAACTGACGTCTTTCATACTATTACATTGTCTGAACTCTGACGATTGAGACACTGTTGATGTAAAATATTAATTATAGACATTTTAAATGTTGACTTAGACTAGATTTTGTCCATACAGTCCCAATAAACTACTTCTGACAGCATGGACAGACGGCTACGAATACGATAGTAGAATTTCAGCCAAATTCCCATTTCAAGTTGCACAATTTCTATCAATTAAGCCGAGTGTTTGATCTACCTGACATGTGCCCTGATGAATGTCTTGTTTGTTTAAAGCCTGGCTGCATGGATGTCAGCTGATCAAATGTAATGTTCAATGGATGCCAACGGTTTGCATTTAATCATCAATTCCATGAGCAACGCAATTAACATTTAGCAGGAAGTCTTGCTTACGACGATGATTAGCTGGAGAAATTCCACTGATACTTGTGGTCAAGGGAAAGATGATAGCTCATGAAAAACAGCTCATTACTGACACTATAGATCAGTTAGACAGATGAGTCTGGTCTCTACAACAAAGTGAAAAACTGACGTTTTTCATATAGCTCATAAAAAGTCAAATATGATGCAACAAACAGTTTTGCTACATCATATTTGACTTTTTATGAGCAACAAAACTATGTTTGTCACACATCCTGTTTTGCAAAGTTCAGGAAGTGTACAAAGCCAGAACGAATCTGCAACCCAAACTGCATGGTGTTAGAACCAGTAGCTATTTCACCTCTGAACTCCGAATTTTAGCCTCAGAGCATATTTAGATTAAACAAACTAATTCTGGGACAAGACTGAGTCTACACCAAGTCACAGTCTGGAGGTCTGTACAGATGGTAAATTGGTGCTGGTTTGGTTTGTTAGGTGATTTATTTCTGCATTTCCGATGTCTCTGCTTGTGTCTGTTTCATGTTTCTTTTCACTTACTTCCTGTTTTATTTTGAAATTGCCTTTCCTTGTGTGCTACTTGTAATTTTACTTTTCGTCTTTACGCCTCTTTTCCCTCCCATTTGATTGGCCTGATAGGTTCCACCTGCGTCTTGTATAGTGTTTAAATAGTCTTTTCCTGTCTGTTGCCCTGTTTGCCTCCCACATGTTTGACCAGCTGTTCACCTGCATCTGGTTTGTAGTTTTACTTTCTTTATTTCTTGCTCCTGTTTATGTCATGCTTTTGCTACCATCTTGGCTTTAGGTTCATTCCTGCCAGATCCCCATGCTTCAGATTTATCTGGACTGTGGGTTTTGTTTTGTATCAGCTTTATTTGATCAAAGTTTGCTTTTTGTTCTCATCGATTCACAACAGGAATAGGTCTAACATTTAACATGTTCCCAATCTTAGTTTAGCACGCTAGGAGGCTAATATGCAAATTAGTTCTAAACACAAACCACAGCAGATGATGGTGGAAACTTTGGGGTTGTTTAGATATGTAGTCAAACACAATAAGAGAAATCACTTTTTTTTTTACAATTGACCTCTAACATGTAAACGGTACCAAATCTGTGATCATCCCCACCAGAAAGTATTTAGTGAACTATTAAAATGAATAACAATAGTTACATTATCTAAAGGTTTTGGGTAGCTGAATGTTTGGCCATTTCTCTGAACCAGTGCCGATTGTGTTATGTGTTTTAACCACTTAAACCCAAGAGTATTTTTTATTAATTTTTAAATTTCCACCTGAAAAATACTTCCTCAAATTTATTCAAGAGCAGCTCCGTAAATGTAAGGCTCAACCAACAGCCCTGAGCTCTATGGATAAGAGACAATTTTGAAATGCAGAAGTGTCCTTTTTAGTAGAAAGAGAAAATGCCCAGAATAGCAGGAAAGGTGTGTGTGTGTGTGTGTGTGTGTGTGTGTGTATAGGGAGAAGATGAATTTAGACACAACTATGTGAACAGAGCGAGAAGTGAAAGCCGACTAATTGGCTTTTAAACCAAGAACCAGCTGGATTTGTGAAAGTTTCCTAGTTGGTAACAAACTGCTGTCTATAAGCGGATCACAATAGCAGGGCTG